AACTTAGCCAAAGCCACCCAAATGGTAAGTGTCAGAGCAGAGTTTGGAACCCACACAATCTTACCTAAATTTCTGTATTGCCTTAAAGAGGTAGGGAAGAAATCAGGAGGATGCCTGTGAATGTGGCTCAGAGGAGCCAGAAGTGGCCAAGGCATAGAAAACAAAACGGGCCTGGTGTGCCTGGAAACCCACCACCCCTGGATTCTAAAGTGAATCTTCCTGCTATCTTTCCAAGCCTGAGGATGCCTTGGTTAGATTCTGCTCCCCTGAGCTGCTGGCCTGAGGTTGGCATCTCCATTTTAGGCTGGGGCTTTATGTACCTGCATGGAAGAGGAGGTGCAAAGCATTGTACTCGCCATATGGGGCCCCATTTGCATTTAGTGAGTGCTCAGCTGTGCACAGTGTCTCCTTAATGAATCACATGCAAGCAGAACATCGCTATATTTATCCAAGCACTGGGAGCTGGAGTGCTTGCTGTGCTTGGGCTCACATGCCCCAGAACAGCGCCTCGCAGGTTGTTCCAGTTTTCCTTGTGGTCAGGGCCTTCGGGCCCTTCAGTAATTCCTTCCCTGGCAGGATCAGCTGGTTTCTGAAGCATCTTTCTAGGCATGCTGAAGCCAAAAAAAATGTTTCCCTCCTGAAGCTATAAGAGACCAAGTGCTAAAAAAGAACCTTGAAACCACATCTGCCATGCCCTTGACTTCAAGGCCACACTTAAAGCCTTGCAGATAGATGAAGCATTTTTTTTTTCTTTTCTCTTCCAGCTTCTCAGGAGAGGCCCTACAGTGCTGAATGGGCCCCATCATCAGTTTATTTCTTGCATGTAATCTAAAACCCTTATGTATTTTATTTGCCTTAGTCACTCCTTCCTGGAAATACTCCTTTTATTTATATGTGCTCAGATGAGAGAGCTTCCCAGTATGATCACTTCTGTGCTTGGGAATCAACAACGACAATAAGAATAGTAGCTGATATTTACTTAACACTTATTAGGTGCCAGCTATAATATTAAACACTTGAAAGACATTATCTCACTTTTTCCTACCTCAAAATCACCCTTTGAGTGAGCATTATATCTCCATTTTGTCAGTAAGGAAGGTAAAGAGTCCAAGGCTGCGCAGTCAGTATACAGAGGAGTCTGGCTAGAGAGCAAAGCCCTTTACACTAAATAGCTGTTTGCACCACTTCTCCCGCCCAACTGCGTTCAATTTCTCCAGCTCTTCTTCCCATTTCTACCAAGTAAAACCCCAGGCTTAAAAACTCTCTCTCTCTCTCTCTCTCTCACACACACACACACACACACACACACACACACACGCACACACACGACCACACCCACATTTGCTAAGTAAGACTGCAACAACTTTGCTTAATGATGTAGTTACTGTTAAATGCAAGCCATTTCCCTATAGAACTGGTTTTTTAATCTTTGGTGAAACTTAGGCAGGTGTAGAATATTTTTCCTTCCCTGGACTAGAGTGTGATGTTTAGGTACTTCACTTGTGACATGAGTAATAGGGAGTAGTTTGGATCCTCACTGAGGCAGATGTCCCTGAGCTTGGCCTCCTGGGATCCGTGTCTTCTGCCCTCCCCTGTTAGAGTCTCAGAGCACAGAAGGAGAAGAGTGCCAAGTTCTGGTTCAAGCCATAGCATTGGCACAGTCTGTGACTAGAGCAAATCAGATTTTTCTTAGTGGTAGAAATTAAATTCAGTTTCTTATAAAGTTTAAAGTTGAGTGCATAGCCCGGACTTGGTCTCATAGCCTAAATATCTCTTTTCTTTCCTACCTCAGTCAAATAACATTTAAAAGATGTCAGTGAAGCCAAGTCACTTGCCCACTCTGGCCCTCGGTTTCTTCTGTATAATGGGAAGCATGGGCTAGATGTTCACTGGCCTTCCCCATAGCTCTTGGTTTAGAACTCCAGGGGGCAGCAGGAAGAAACCCACCCCAACCTGCAGAGCTCTGACCAGACAGGGTTGCAACAAATCCAACCAGAGCTAGTTTAAGAAAAAAAGGAATTTATTGGAAAGATACTTGTGCAGCTCATACAATCCAAAAAGAGTTAAAAAACCACACAGAGAGGTTGGGAACCAGGGCAACCTCAGGGATCTCTTTATCAGGAGTTCATGAACATTCCCCTGGAGTGCTGCCATTAAGATGAACCCCAATAGGGGCACCTGGGTGGCTCAGATGGTTGGGCGTCTGCCTTCGGCTCAGGTCATGATCCCAGGGTCCTGGGATCGAGCCCCACATCGGGCTCCTGGCTCAGCGAGGAGCCTGCTTCTCCCTCTCCCTCTGCCTCTCTCCCTGCTCATGCTCTCTCTCTCTCTCTCTGTATCTCTGTGTCTCAAATGCATAAATAAAATCTTAAAAAAAAAAAAGATGAACCCCAATAAAGCCCATTTTTATGTTTCTGTGTTAAAAAAAATACAAATTCCAGGGAGAGAGCCACCAAAAGACCATTCAGTTATGGAAGGTGGGGGGTGGGTAGGGTAAAACAATAGGAAAAAGCTGCTGAAGGCCATTCTCGTAGGCTTCACAAGTGGTTCCCAAGAAGAGGACCGGGTGGGAATCCTACCCCCTTCCCCATGCAAATACACTAATAAGTATGCCTTACAGAGAAAGTCCGTATGTATGTAAATAATGATGACTCTATCATGGGCAGCCATGTCTGGGTGTTAAATGTTGAGTGGGAAACACTATAGACCATAATAGGGATTGTGAGATCGCTTAGTAGACGTTTTCAGGCAGCTGTGGCTAGTGGAAAGAGTAACAGATTTCAAGGCAAAAGGCTTGGGGGATGGACCATCCATTAGCTTAGCTTTGGGCACAAAGAAAAACTAAACAATGTCATCTCTTGGGGAAACCACCACCACTTTGAATTAGGATCCTGCCTTCCTCTCTACCAGATCTGGTCTCATAGTTTGAACTTTGATGGGCTTTGGGCAAGTTTCAACCTCTTGGGAGTTTTCTGTGTCCTTATCTCTGAAGTGGGAATGATAGTAATATTCCTATAATTACCAACAAAACGACAGTTAACATTTGTTGGCACAAGGCATATGCTGAGCACTTCACGTGTGAGCTAGTCTCTTCACAGTACTTGGGCACAGTGCTGTTATGGCCTAAGTTTTGTAGATGAGGAACCGGGGCTTGTGGGAATGAAGAGAGGCAGTAAAGCATGGAGCAAAGTGCTGCACAAAGTGATCGAGAGGGTGGGCCCAGGAGCCGGATGGCCAGGTATGAGTGGCTCTAACACTTCCGGGTGTGGAGTCCTTGGGCATGTTGCTTGAGTTTGATCACTCTGTAAAATGGGGATAATGATAGGGCCCACCATAGTGTGGTCGTGAGGGTAAATGATTTAGTACGTATGCAGACAGTGCCTGGGGCCGAGCAGTGTGCAACAACATCTGCTGTCATTAATAAGGTTTTCCGTTAGTACGGGGCAAAGTGGAGGTTGGAGACCCAGAGCTGATGGACTCTAAAACACATTGTCTATGGCTGACATCTCTGTGCTGACAGGACAAGAAGGCTCAGAAGGGAGGAGTTTAAGAGAGGGGCGAGGGCACAAGGGAGGGAGAAGGAGAGAGAGCTGCTTCAGGACTCTTGGCTCCTCTCACAGTTTGTCTCTATGACCTTGAACTAGATACCCAGAAAGTCAGAGCAATCACTGGGTCCTTGTAATTGATTGGAACATTCAGTACGGGCTTTCTCTTAAGCTTCTGACCTCAGGGGGGCTTTAGGAAGCTGTCAGTTAGGAAAAAAGAGAAGAGAGGCAGAGAGTGACTAACATACAGAGAGAAAGATGGAGTCAGAAAGAAGAAAAGCAGAGATGAACATAGTGACCCAGAGAGACAGAGAGTAAATAATACTCACAAGCAGATAAGCAGACACATGTTTAAAGACAGAGAAAGGCAATAGAAGAGAAGCAGAATGAAGAGAAAAGAGGGGTGGGGGATGGGTGGGAATTCAGTGCAGACAGCACGTGATGGACTGCCCTTTCTGTGGTTGATGGAGCAAACAGACCAGTAAAGTGCTGACAGCTTTATCTAAGGAAAGCACCTTCCCCCACAGCCGCAGCAAGTGGTGTCTGACTGTGGAGGGCAGTGACAGGGACGCTCCTTATCTGAACTGGAGACAGGAGCACTCTTCTCTGTATTTCACGCAGGATGCCACAGATTAGCCTGAAGATTTTTCACGGTCGGTGATAAAGCCTTGTTTGGAGAGGCCTAGGGCTGAACGACACTCCAAGGCCGGGCCAGGAGGGCCATAAGCCTTAGGAACCTGGAGACAAATTTTATATGAGGGGATGGTTTCTATAAAAAGTTGCATGTATATATTCGTGCTGGCCTTGAAAATCTCTGCAAGAATATCCATCCAAATGTTAATAATCCCTAATCTCGAGGTAGGATTAATGAGGAGTCTCACTTTGTAAGTAATGTGTTTCTGTTATGTTGGCATTTTTGACAGTAACAATATAGGGCCTTTATAAAAAAGAGGAACAAAGTTTCAACTAGGTGATAAGCACACTCCTTGAAATGAGAGGGCCGGGGACACAGTGGCCCCTGACATGGAACAGGCAAGTACATATTTGTCTGATAAGCAGGCAATGGCTAAGTGGAAGGGCGGTAGACTTGAAAATATTTCTCCTTGATTCTTCCCAGAGACTTTGGAAATCTGGTGACCACAATCTCCCTTCTGATTCTTGCAGAAGGGTGAAATTATGAATGTCTCCTCGGCTTGGACGAGTTTCATTCCTTTGAGATTCTTCAGGGTTTAAAAAAAAAGGCAGGAGTCAGTGGGAGGGTATCTGTCCTGTGCGTGGACAGAGGTTTTCCTGCGAGTGAGTGATGGCTGGAAACACTGCTGGCTCAGCACCCCGGCGCTGAAGTCCCTGTCTCCCACCCCTCACTCTTAATCTTAAATGAAGTTTGTGGCTGCACACACTTTCAAAGGTATTGCCTATAGGCTTGAGAAATGACCCAGATGTGTCTTCTTTCAGGCTTTATGAAGGCAAAGAACAGATGGAGTTTGAAGAATCCATGAGACGGCTCTTTGAATCCATCAACAACCTGATGAAAAGTCAATATAAAACAACCATCCTTTTGCAGGTTGGTTTACGCTACAAAAAAAAAAAAAAAAAAATCTCTTTTCCTTTGGTCATCCGATAAATACCAGCATGGTGAGATGATGTCTACGTTTGCTTGAATATGTAACCCTGTCTTAATTGAAGGCCTGGGCTGGCCACATGGTACAAGGATCATGAACACCAAGGAAAGCACATTTATTGTTTGTTTCCTGTGAGGGTAACAGTGCCTCTTTTTAAATAACTCTGAAGCTTTTGCTACCTGGAAGGAAATAGGTCAAACCTGATCCACTTCTAATGGTGACAGTGGTGGGGCGTCTGGATGGCTGAGTCAGTTAAGTGTCCAACTCTTGATCTCAGCTGGCATCCTGATCTCAGGGTTGTGAGTTCGGACCCCGCAATGAGTTCGGACCCCACGTAGCATGGAGCCTGCTTAAAAAGAAAAATAATGACGGTAACAGCGGTTAAGGTGGCAGTCTCTTAAATCCTCTACTTTTGATTCTCAGCACCATAAGCTCAGATCCCCTTTTGGGGTTAGAGTCTCCTCAATAAACAGGAAATACTTTGGAGAGAGGTCCTCTAATTTATGGTTCATGATGCTAATGTACAAACTCTATAGATCTTTGAGAAACCTTGAGTCCCACCCCAAGTTTGAGCAAGAGTTTAGCAGCAGAGAGGCTGAATGAAGAGGCTGTTTCAGGGAAGACTTCCTAACTTTCACAGGATTGACTGGTAAGTGTGCAGGAAGGGCTGCCTCATGCCATATGAATAGGAAACAAATGCATTTATTGAAACCAGCGAGTTAACACAGATTGCTTGTTCTTCTTTTGATCAGAGTTATCCTTTTAGTTGCTAATTTAAGTATCTGCCGTGCCTGAGATCACCCAGCCACAGGCTGGAATGGGTGAGGTGCTAGTGTCCAGTTAGAACGGAGGTGAGGAGGCAGAAGCAGAAGTCTGTCTAGGCAGCGTCCACTGTTGATGCCATGGGTTCCCAACTTTGCACATCAGAATCTCTTGGGGATCTTTAATAAATTCTGATGCCTGGTTACCGCCACCAGACATTCTAATCTAATCAGTATGGAGTGTGACCAGGGTAAGGGGAGTTTAAAAAACTCCCTGGTGTGAAGCAAAGTTCAGGAATCACTCTGCTAGTTGCTTCTTTTGATTGAACAAATGTTGGCGACCTCTGTGTGTGTGTGTGTGTTTGCATGTGTATGTGTGTGTGTGTGTGTGTGTGTGTAGAGGGGGGCTTTGTCTAGTTCACCAATGTATCCTCAGCACTTTGAACAGTCCTGATACATAGCTGATGCTTAATAAATATCTGTTGAATGAATGACTCTCAGGATAGGTGTGCAGATCTCCGTTTCATAGATGAGGACATTGAAGCTCAGAGTTGATACCACTTTGTCAGGCTCCACTGCAGTCAAGGGTATGGCTGGCGTCCAGATCTCCTCCTGCCTGGCTCTGAAGACCGTGCTCTGAGCTGCTACATTACCCTGTTCTTTACACTATACATTTAGCACCTGCTGGAGATAAGACTGTTTTCTTCAGGATGAGTCTTACTGTTTTCACCTTCCCTCCCCTGTTGTTGTTGTTGTTGTTTTAAGTCTTCCCTCATCCTTTTACGAACCTTCATTATTTTACAACAAAGGGAATAACAGGAGGAGGGGACAGCATGAAGAAATGTGATAAGAGCTGGAGCCTGTCACCCTGCCTGTATCATATTAGAAGCAGCTGAGCTTCCAGGGAGAGGTGTGAGGTTGTTCTGTGAGGGCTGAGGTTGACTGGTTGCAAAGGGAGAGGCTGCAGCATGGAGTCAGTTCTGAAATAGCTCCAAGGAAGCTGAAGTACGAAAGCAGAAATGCCAGACAAATGAAGGAAGACAGTTGGTGGGGAGGAGAAAGGAGCAGATGCTTCAGAGAGATAGAGGTGCCAGGAGAGAGACAGACCACTGACCTTGAGAAAGCCGGAGGGAGGCAGCTCTCATAGAGCCACTTTTTCTAATTTCAGCACCTATTTCCCGGTGATGAGCTACATGTACCTTGGGGGAAGGGACAAAGGGACAGAGGGAATAAGAAAGGGCAGAAAGAAAGGAGGAGAAAGAAAGGAAGCTACAAAGCAAAGAGGAGCCGGTGAGCATCGTGGCACTGAGGAGACATGGATGTTCTTCTTGCTCAGCTGTATGACCGTAGGCTCGTCATTTAACTTTTCACAGTCTGTTTCCTCATCTGTAAGACTTCACTGTGATCAAATAAACACAGTCTATGAAAGAGCAGATTGTAAAATGCAATGCAAATGCAGAGAACTAATGTGATTATTATGGTCTGGGTATAAGCCTTTTTACTCAAGTTCTTACTGTCTGGGAAACTATGTTAGAAATGCTTTATTTTCCCTGGGATTTGGGCCAGGTTATGCTGGTTTCTCCTCATGGATTTCCACCCGAGAGTCTTCAAAAGGGACTTCATCTCCTTTTTAATTTGCTCTGAGGGCCAAATTTAGCTTCCAGGATTTACATAAAATCAATAATACTTTCTACCTATGTCTATGGTTGCTGAAAATTTGTCAAAGAAGGATATAGCCTTATCCAAATATGGGAAGCAACAACCTTTGAAGATTTAATGCCGTTTTAAGGTGTGATGTGTGGTTTGATGAGGGGAGAGGGGTCAAGGCCATGTAATGTTAGCAAGCTCCATACAAGGAATCTTCTTGAACTTTGGCATTTGCTACTGGAGAGAGACCTCGGTGGGAATTAGGCATCCACACTTGGGCATGTAACATTGGGCAAATTGCTTCAGTTTTCTGGACCTCTGTTTATCCTTTTATGAAATGGAAAGCCTAATGTCTAATTTAGAGGAAATATTGAGAAGATTAAATAAAGCAATGTATATAAAGGGAGAAATATAGGGCCTATTACATATTTCAATTTAAATAGTTTTTAGCCATTTATACCTCTCCCTTCTTTACCTCATCATTAAAACAGAAGTTTTTGGAGCATTTTCCTAGAGTAGGAGGGGATATTTATATTCCTAACCTCGTCACATGAGGCTGAACAGTTTTAGGACGATTGGTTATTCAGCTAGATCAGGAAACATAAATACAAATTTCAGGGAGAATAAACCCACAAGAACTGACTGTATGGGGAAAAAAAAAAGGGATGACAAATAGTATAGGATGACTGGAGTCCTGATTCTGAGCCTGCATGGGGTATAGTGGGAGAGAGTGCTGTGATCTATTAGTAGTGTCTGCCATAAGTTTTGGGTAAGAACGCCAATGAGTGCAACTTTACACCTCCAGCTGGGTAGCAGCTGATGGTGGAAACCCTCATTCATGCCTGCTTTAATTTAGCGTTGAGCAGATCTGGTTCAATCAATTTCGGCTGTGTCCATTGTGAGTTCTGGGATCTCATCAAGTTATTTCTCATTTCTAAGACTCATCCAGTGTTTGTGAATTGCTTCCTGTGGTTTCCTTATTGTTCAGAGTTGGCATGACAGCAGCTCGCTCAAAACTATGGAGAATTAAAAACCAGCAATTCAAAGAAGGTAGAAGATCATTAAAAATGCCTTCCATTGATTGAGTACCTACCATGTGCCAGGCATGAAGCTGGGCTCTTCACATACAGTGTTTTTCATCCTTCCAGAGATTTGCAAGGAATCACTGTCTTCAGTGTCCACAGGAGGCTCATAAAGTTAAATAATTCATCCCAAACTATACCTATCCACAGTGGTGGAGCTAGGATTTGAAAGTACCCAGGTCTCTTGACTCCAAAGTTAGTGTTCTCCCCACCACAAGGAATGGATTAGGACAGGGGTTTCCATGTATTTTCAGTAACAGGCCATAAGCTTAGAAGTCCCTGTGTGTGCCAGCCCTGTGAGCATTTTTGATAAAACTGATGGTAAGTTGAGAGGATCAAAATCAGACATGAGTGAACTGGATGTAGCTCAAATGTGAGGAAAGGGCATTTGGTGACATTAGGCAGACCCATTTGTCCCATTCTCCTTTAGGTCCAGGGTTCATCACACTGCTCCAATTTGATGGTATGAGTGAAAATAAATGAACAGCATGTATTGAATGGTATGCTCCCTTGGCCACTATGATTGTCATACATGGTAATAATGCCACTAGAGTGTCCAGAAGGGCAGAGTCTGTCTTTTGTATCCCCAGTATCTGAACCAGCGGCTGCCACTTAGTAGGTACTCGAATATTTTTTGGCTAAACAAATGAAACAATGAATACCAGCTTCCGCTATTTTGTGTTTTAGCATTTATTATGTATCACACATTAGGCTGAAAGCTTCACATATATTGTTAGCTCATTTGATTTTTATAACAACCTTATTAGGCAAATACTCTTCTTATCTCTACTTTACAGATGAGGAAATGGAAGCTTAGCAAGGCTGAGTAACTTAACCACAACTAAGAAGGGGCAGGTCTGGGATTTGAATCCAGACTGTGTAAGTCCAGAGTTTGTGCTCCTAATCACCACTGAACAAAGCATAGTTTCATGAAAGACCCAAGTCTTTCCTGCAGAATGTCAAATGGATAAGTAATAAGCAACAGTAAGCAATAATAAAGAAGGATAGATGTTCAGTCCATAGTCATGAAGGCAAGCTAATTAAGGATGCCTTTTTCTTTCCTCTCTTTTTGTTGTTTATTGGTATAAATTGTTCAGGTGTCCAACTAAAGGAAGAAAGTAGTCTATTCTTGCGAAGGGGCCCCCAGGCTGTAGGCTGAATTCCCAAAGTAGGAGAAATGAAACTTACTATTTAAATTGTCCCTTTCTCAACCATATACCCCATACTTAGGGGTAATGTTTGGGGAGGATGGATTCAGTGGTGGGGAGGATGAAATTTGTTTCAGTGAGGCTGTTGTAGGCATACTGATAACTAACATTTAATCTTCACGTTGGCCTTAAATTAGGTAGCTTTGTTTCCTTCATTCTCCTGGTGAGAAAAGGAGAACACAGAGAGTTAACCTGCTCAAGGCAACATAGATAAAAGTGATCCACAGGGACTTGACTCAGACAGTCAG